AAAAAAGAAAGCCAGAAGATAATGGTTAAACAACAAACCAACTAAAACTCCAATTATAAATCCAGAAAATCAAGTAAAATGTTTTTTTTGTGTTAAATTTGTCACGAAATCTTTCTGCTGATCAATATGCGGTCAGGACCAGATGACTCGAGCTGTACTACTGTTATTTGGGGTAAACCGGTTCCGAGGTCTTCTGACCAAATTTAATATTTACATAATATTTATTATTATTATTATTATTATTATTATTATTATGTCTCCCAGCCCCCATTTACTAAAGAATCTTCGGACTAAAAAGCCTTAGTTTGTGTCACTATGAAGTTTTGCAATAAGAATTTTTTTTTTGCTTAGCGAATTATTCTTAGTTTTAACCATTAGAACATTAGAATGTCTTGTTTTCTTGAATGGTCATATATATTGAGAAAGACCTACATTTTATTAGCTGGCTGTACAATGTACTCAATATATTCGTAAAACGGTACACAGATCAATTCTCAATAATCACGTTACGATCAACAAGAATGTCCATTATGTTCAAGTGTTACAACTTTTTTTTATTTTTAAAAAAAAATATGTCGCCTCGTCATTACAATAATAATCATAATAATACTTGTAAAAATTGTGATTTTTTAAATAGTCAAGTGAAACAAAAAGATGGTTTATTAGCGTCAAAAAATGAAAAAATAGCTGAACTACAAGACAATTTGATCAAGGCCCAACAAGAATTACTCCAGCTATTTAGACTATTAACTCCAGCACAAGCACAACAGCAGCAACAGCAACAGCAACAGCAACAGCAACAGCAACAGCAACAGCAACAAAATTTATTAGCTGTAGAAGAAATAGAAAAACAATCATGGCTACCACCACAACAAAAACAGTCAACAACAGTAGAAGATATAAAACAACTGCTACAGCAACAGCCTGAGCCACAACAGCAACTACACCCACGACAGCAGCAGCAGCAGCAACGAATATCAGCAGAACATTTAAGGAAAAATTTAAGACAACATCCATCAAGATCAAATCTTCAAGAAAATTTACCACCAAAACCCCCAACACAAAAACATAATAATTTACCACCACCAATATCACCCCAACAATTTAATTTTCTAAGCTTCGGTAACAATCAGGGTAGCAGTGATGGTAAAGTTTTTTATAACTTTGCTAAGAAATAAAGAAATAAGAGTTTTTTTATTTTTATTTTTAAATTAGTAGAGAAAAATTCAAAATGTTTAAATTATATTATAGATAATTCTGATTCTTCAGATGATTCTACAACGGATAATAGTGATGTTCTGGCAGATAACTTGATTGATTTAAGTGTAAATGAAGATACTGAATGGATTTATCCGGAACAACAAAAATTAGGTATTTATATGTTTTGGATTTTTTTTGATCCCTTGTAGAAAAATAATTCAAAAAACAAATAAAAATTAAAATTTTAAATTGTTAATAGATAACCGCGCATTTGTTGGTAATCTTTTGCATACTATACCTAAATCAAGGTTAGAGTCAACATTGGAAGAACAATTTGGAAGCGTTGTTGAAATTGACTGCATATATAATAAGGTATAAATTTTCTTTGTTTCCACTTTAAACTTTTTCACACAATCTGGTTTATGTTTGCTAACATTTATTTCTCGCATACTCTTCCTCCCATAAAAATAAATAATTGGATTATTAAGAGATGTGCATTTGTAACGTTCGCAAATAAGACATCATATGATACTGCTATCGAGAGAGGATTCTTTTTCATTGAAGGAATAAAATTGTCAATTTGTATGGCAAAAACAAAGAAAAGAAATCCAAGCTTTATTAAAAAAGCGGAGTGATTGGTAATTTATCATAGATTTATTTATTTATCATTTAAATGTATTTAATATTTTATTAATAACGAAATATTTATCCCTAATTAGCCAATCAAAATTTTGTACCCAGACACCCCATCCCAAAGTTTTAATTAATAATAATAAATTTCAAATTCTCTTCTCTTCATGTAATAATATTTAAAGAAAAAATATTAATTAATGGTTGATAGTATGTTTTTATAATTGACGAATATGTGTAAAGATCAATAAAAATCATATGACCATAATTTTAAAAAAACATATCACAGCATATTTTTTTTTTCCAAAACAAATTTTTGTTATTATCGATTTATTATCGGGCAGACAGCACTATTAAGCTATATTTGGTTGCTTTGTTATTTTAGGTACAAAATGACGTCAGTATGATTGATATACTATTTATGCAACATTTCTATAAGATATAATTAAATCATATAATTAAACTTTAATAAACAGTGACATTTGAAAGAATAGCTTAATAGTGATCGTCCGATAACATCGAAATTGGACAATTTCAGTGACATCCAGGATGTCATGATATTGGTCGCTGCGCGCACAATATTTTATACATATGATGCAGGTCATCTAAAGATATCCAAAAAATAAAAATAAAAATAAAAATAAAAATGTCTTTTTCCCTTTTCCTTTTTTAATTCAAAAAAATAAATTAATAATGAGAGGATATGATGAATATATATATACATCAAAAAAATTGTGCAACTTCAAACCACTAAGGCATTTTTTTTTTATTAATAAAATTGAAAAAACTCTCTATTTTTGCAATCTTTAGAAACTAAGCAACAATGAAATAGTTTTTTTTCAGTTTTATTAATATTAATAAAAAAAAAGCTTTATTGAAGTTGCACGATTTTACTATCAAAAATGAAATTTGGCACAAGATGATCTTTCTTGTTTAGTGAAAGATCTTCTAAACACGTAATAGAACAAATTACAAAATTCAGTTCAAAAAAACCACCATCATCATATTTTTTGTAAGCAATCAGCAATAAATACATTGCTAACAGCAAACTGCACATTTGGGAAAAGCTAGAAATGTTAAAAAGATAAATCAGATAACGAATAGAGGTTGAAACCGGTTGCAACATAAATTCGGTTCCTATTATTACTATTTTTTCATCGGAAAACCGGATTATTATAATTAACATCTGATTTTTGAATAAGTTTTTTTGCTAATGAAAATTTGGTAATAAGTGGTGTGACTATTTTGGGCATAGTAGAAAATTTTTACTCTAAGTCATATCCAAAATCAGGTAAAGCAATTTTATGTCATATCAATATGAAATTATTGGTAAAGCAAAAAAATTTATAATAGAAAAATAGGCAAGGGTTAAATTGTAATTGATATTAATATAAAAAGTTTTATGTTCTTTTCCATTTAAGTAAATTTTCTAATGACTCTTCTTATTACTAATCCTAACACTAAATTATTGTTCAGATATGGGTTTATTTAAAAAACATCAACAACTATATTAATATGGTTTTCTTAGTTCTTTAGATAAAAATGTATTTCAATGGTTACACATGAAGTCACATGTCTCATATGGGTGAAACTTTTAATTTTGATATGTAGTTTTCTAAAATTTACTAATATATAACCTGGATGTTACCTCAATTATAATAATCCGGAGTCCTTATATAACCCGCATAGATTATCCTATTTCATCTCGTATAGTAATAGGATAATCCTAGTAAAATTTGTCCGCATTTCCTGTTAGTCAGCTGACGAAACTTTATTCACTAGTTTTGGTTTCGCCAAAAGTGACTAATATTAAAGTTTTGTTTAGGGTTACGCAACCAGCCTTGATATTCACCAATAATTCTAAAAGAAATAATTAAGGAAGAAAAGAAGAAAGCAAAGACGATGGTTATGATAAAATACATGAATACGGAAATGATGAAAGTATTATGATTACAAAGTATACTAATGTTTTGCTAATAGTAATATTCAATTAGATATCAGATAATTGATCAAATTTCTTTAATAAAATTAAAAGTGTATTATCGATGAGATGAAACATATTTGTTTGGTGCTAAAAATAAAATCACTATTCCATTGATTCTATTTCTATAAATAGAAATAAGTGATTTTGAGAAAATATTGAGCCATAATGTTTTTCATTATACGAACGTATTTGCTCAAATTTAACATTGGGAAGTATCAAATAATGTGTTATAATAATCCCGGCTCGCGTTATTATTTTTATTATTGAATGAAAATTTCTTTTATTCTTTATAATTGGTAAAGCCAAATTAGTCGGCATCTTGAAATCGAATATATTATTCATGCCCTGTAAAATATTATTATCAAAGATTCCATTGTCAACCTTTACATACCTTTTGTATTATATTTAACAGACTTGGGATGCTCTGACTCATTCACGGCAGGCTACCTTGTGATTCATTACTAATCCTCTTAATAAACAATGAAATTAATTGAATAACAGCAAAATAATAAAATTGGCGATCTGGCTATGAATAATCGACATTTGGTCTATAGCATCCCCATAGTAAACTTTTTTTCTTTAAGCAAAGATGTTCGATAAGCAAATTTGGTTAGTATCCTCCGCTTTTTATTATGTACATTCTTGGACGAATTGTTAATTAATGAACAATTCTGTGTGACACTTAATGATGATGAAAAATTTTATACTTCTATACAAACTTAAAATGATCGTACGTGACGATCAATTATAATTTCAAGACTATTTCCAAAATGTTTATTTTCCTTTGTCTGCTTTCTATTTGCCGCGTTTAATATAGAATAACTTTATAACCTCTTTTCAAGTTCTTCAATGCTGTTTTTTCTCTACATAATATATCATTACCACTTAATAGATATCTACTTTTACTTGTATACGGTCGTTTTCACTATATTTTCCTACCCGAGGGATTTCCCACACCTTGATAATTACTCTTTTCCACATATAAATGAAACATAATAATGCAATAAAGTCATAAAATAAAAGTTTCAGTAATTTTAGATAAAAGAGCATTTTGGAATGTAATAAATGTTGTCTTTACATATTTACGATATTAATATTAATCAATTTTATTTATTACAGCATTTTCTTTATTTTATCCAAAAAAAAATTGTAAATTAATTCATATAAACGGATAAGCAAAAACACATTAATTAATTATTAATGGTTTAAATCCAATAATTGAAAATACATGTTTTGCTATATTTTCTTCATTTGGTTGATGTTCACCTTTCCATCCACAACCATAATTTCCGTGAGATAAACAAGTATAATAATCACCATTAGCTGAATTATTATCATCATTTTTAACAACATTAACTGAATTTGGAGTATGACAATTTGGACAAGTGTACATCTTGATATTTAAAGGTGAGATGGTGTCGTGAGTGTTAAGATTTAAAAATGAGTTAAATGGTTCCGAGATTGGAACTTCGACTATTTCTTGTTCAT